AATTAAATATGGAGCATGCTTTTAACAAGGGCAAAAGTAAAATTTCAGTAATCAATCAACATGGACCTAATGAAGGGGTGTCAATGTTACTTCAATAAAATTTGGAGGGTGTCAGTATAATTTAATCTAAATAAAAAAATAAAAATTGCAGAAACGCTGAGTATCGATGGACGACCAACTCAACAACCACGATAGGCCCAAGTCGTATGTACAACACACAACCCAGGGTGTACACTTGTACGCATACTCTCGTCTCTATACGAACACGTGTATCGTGACGTGGATCTTGCCTTTCTCTCTCCTCCTCCTTCACCCCCCGCCATCTCTCTCTATCTTCTGCAAAAGCTAAAAACTCTTCCCTTGCTCTGCGTTTTCTAGAGAGAGAAAGTAGAGACAGATAATGCAGTAGTAGAGAAGCTAGGGTTTGGGCCTCAGTAAATCAACCAATTTCTATTTTTCCTTTCCACCATTGGAGATAGTCGGAGCTCTTCGGTTTTTACTTTTTTTTTTTTTTTTTTGGGTTTTGGTTTTTTGAAGTTTTTCGTCGCTGCCAGAGGTTGGTGGTGGTTCGAGAATTGAAGGTATGTTGAATTTGAAGTTTGATTTTTTGAATTATAGTATTGGAGTAGTGGATTTGCTCTGTGAAATTTCGATATTTGGAGATGAAACTTGTGTTGATCTCTCGAATTTGTGTTTGTTTCTGCTATAGAATTTGAATTTGAGTTTCTATTTTTGATGATTTGATTGAAACATTGTTTGTGTTTCATGGAATACTGTTATCAAGTTTAGGACTTTAGAGAGAGAGGGGGGGGGGGGGGGGGAGGGGAGATCGTGGAAAATTCAAACTGTTTCGGCTTAGAGAATCGTTTTCGAGTACATTGAAGCGGTCGATTGTAAGTTTAGAAATCACAAAAAGTAGAATTGTATAATTGAGAAATTTTCACTTTGCATCTGTTTGAACGAAAAGTGAACCTTTGAGGATAGTTTGGTCATTTACCTCCTAGGTTATCTTGGATTGATATGATACTCATAATGATCAGTTATGTAACTTATGTTCTTGATATTGGGTGGGGATGGGGAAAGACAACAATGTCCCCCTCCTTTCATATCTTTCCACTCTCTCCCTCTCTCTCTCTCTCTCTCTCTTTCTTTTGAATAATTAATATTTGAATTGGAGCTGAAAATAGTATAAATGACTTGTTCTGTGTCTATATTTGAATCTTGTTATATAACTTGTAAAGATCTGTGTAACTTAGAAGATCTGCCACATATTAAAGCAAATCAAATCAGTGATACTTGGTCTATTCAGAGTAAGTTGTGTTACCTGTTGATATCTTTCTTGAGCATGATTTCCGATTGATAAACGGTTGTATCTGCGGCTCTGTAACTTTTAATTTTCGGTTAAACACTGTGCATCTGAAAGTATTATCTAGATTCATTTTTTGGTAATTACCCATGTTTAGTTTTGATTGGGAGAACACTTAATATACTTTGGGGTCTCCTTATTTCTTTAATAAATTGGTTTTGTTCTATCCCCAGGGTAAAAAATGACTGTCGCAGGACAGAAAAGTAGTTTTAGGAGTAGGATTTCTTTTGTTGTGGTTGTTATTAGTAGTATAGAGTATTCAAGTATTAAGATGATTTCACTTTTTATTAAGGATTTATTAAGCTTCAATGGAGACAATCAAAATTTTGGCGAATGATAGTTCAGGTAAAGTAGCATATTTTTATTCTGGTTTTTGGCCAGGAGACCACTCTATACTTGACTCCGAACGTATTTAGAAATTATTTCCACAGTTTCTGCCACTAAATTCAAGTTGGTTTCAAATGCTGGCTTTTCTTTTGTCTCTCTCTCCATGCATAGAAACAAAGCTTGTTGGGCCGGCCTGATTACCAATATTATACTTTTTAGTGGATCTTTGCAGCTGCACTCCTGTCGTTTGATTTGGTTTAGCCATGTTTGCAAAGATAGTAATAAGAGAAACTCACTGAACGTTTGGGTTCCTAGCCACTAAATGGACTTAAATTCATGAAATTGTATTAAGGATGAGTTAATCCCTGTATTCTTATCTCTATCTGACATTTTCAGCTTGAATTATTTTTATTTATTTATTTATTTATGAGAGTACTGTTATATCTTGAAACATTTATCTAAATGACAATTGACATGGATATGCTTACGCAGCCGACTGACTGTTCTGTCAAAAAACGGAAGTGGTGGCTGTCAAAAGGATTTTCTTGTGTCATCTCTGAATCATTCAAGAATACCAGTTTGGTGCTTGGACCATGGGAAATAGTGAAGAGACAAAGCCTTCTAAGCCTGTGAAACCATCTTCACCTCCATTGGTAAGCTAATAACTATTTGGGACCTCCTGACTCTGTTGGGTGAGAACATTTGTCATTTAATTTGAGAAAAAAATTGTGAAGAAACGTCATATGTATTTTGAGTATACGGTATTGTCATTTTCTGTTACGTCCACTTGATGTTATTGGCCCTTCCTTTTGTATTGACAGGATCAGGCCAACAACATTCATGTCTATCCTGATTGGGCAGCCATGCAGGTTTTTCACTCTATGTATACTCTTATTTATCTATATCTGTAAAATTAATTGCTTAAACATATGTATCGAAAACAAAAATTGAAGTAATCATTTTCTCAAGTCTATATTGAAGTAGTGATCCAAGATAGTTTGTTGCACCTTTAGGCATATTATGGCGCCAGAGTTGCTGTACCACCATATTTTAACTCAGCCGTTGCATCTGGTCATGCTCCTCACCCTTATATGTGGGGACCACCACAGGTATGATATGATGCAAAGTTTCATTTTGTAATTTTCAGCTACCTTCGAGTCATCTAAGGATGCTGAGGCAATTTGTAACTTAAATTAAACTATCTGTTTTACCAGCATATGATGCCACCTTACGGGCCGCCTTATGCAGCAATCTATGCGCATGGAGGTGTTTATGCACATCCTGGAGTTACTCTTGTAAGTCTGCTTTCTATTAGTTTTGGTTTTCTTTATGACTCAGAATCATAATTGGTTAATCTTAGAATGTTTCGTAGTTGAGTTCTTGGGGTACTCCATTCCCTCCACACTGCTTCTGAGAAGTAGGTGGGTGTCGTACTGAAAGTTGGAAGCATCAGCCTAGTAAATTGTACAATGACGATAACCATGTGCCTGGAAATGTGACTTTCTAATCAACTATTATGCCCCCCTTTTAGCCCTTGTTTTAAACAACCACCATCTCCCAAAATGATGTAATTAGCTTATGAATTAAATGCAACCGTAACTAGAATATCAGATTGAGCTCTAATGGGTATGTGTTTGGTTTCCAATTCCATAATTCTATGGGTCATAATGACATGGTTTAGGGGTTACATCTTCTTTTAGCAAATCTTTGGTACTTATATTTTCAGTGATCTTTTATTCTTGTCGTTATATTTGGTCGTGAAATTAAGAACTACTTTAGAGAGAGAAGAGGGATTATTGTCTTTACTAACTGCATAAGCACACATGGATGGATTTTGGATCTTATTTTGAGTGGCAATGCAGGCTGCCATTCCAAACATGGAAACACCTACCAAGTCATCAGGAAATACAGATCAAGGTTTAGTGAAGAAATTGAAAGAGTTTGATGGGCTAGCAATGTCAATAGGCAATGGTAATGCAGACAGTGCTGAGGGAGGAGCTGACTCTCAGAGGTTGGTTGCAGTAACACAATTTTATAATATGCCTTATTTACACCTCTCATAAAAAGGTTAACTTTTAAATTTTATGATCATGTCAACAGTGAGGAGACAGAAGGTTCTAGTGATAGAAGTAATGGAAATACGGGAGGGGTAAGAGTCACCCTCTCTGCTTAAGCACTATTTGCACCAGCTAGTGCTTTTACACCGTTTTAGTTGATTTCCATGTGCATTATAGTGAAGAGTGTCATAAGTCTTAGTGGTCTCCCATCTTTTGTCAGGCGGGTCAAAATGGTAGGAAAAGAAGCCGCGAGGAAATACCATCTATTGGTAAGATTCATTTTTCACTATCTTAATAACAATAACATTTACCTTGATTGCTATTTCCCAGTTAGGATTGGTTCTTTTAGTAGTACATTATCGATACATAACAAAATGATATGTCTTTTTGGTTCCAGTGCTTCTGAGAAATGGGATAATAATTGATCAATTATGTATAGCATACCATGCTTTTCATGCTGTACGCTTTATCTTTGACGTTGTGCAAGGATGGTAGAGATATCTTCTTTCCAAATAGTTGAAAATCTAATACTAGATATATGGATAAAATTACCTATTACGCAGAACATTGTTTTATTGTACCTGAAGCCTTTTAGTCAATTCTTTTACCCTTTGTGAAGACACGAACTTGAGAACAACAATGGGAACAATAAAAAGGAGAAAAGGAACCGTTTCTGTTTTGGGAACTATTTAAGGGACTTTATTTCTTGATTAATTTATTTGTTTGTTTGCTCGATTGTCAACAGGTGAAGATGGGAAGACAAAAACTCAGAGCAGTCCAGTTCCAGTGGGTGAAATAAATGGTGCTCTTGATAAAGTTATGGGTGTCATTGTCCCTTCTCCAAGTGTTGCAGGAAATATGGTGGGAACTATCACAGCATTGGAGCTCGGGAATTCTCCAAATGCAAATGCTAGTCCAAATGGTGCCTTGTTGCAGGTACAGTGACATTCTGCATATGTTCCTCCTTTATTCCTTTAGTTCTACTTGTTTCCTTCTGCATCACATATATATGCTTTGGGCTTATCGAGTATTTGAATATGTTTGGTTGAGATTAATCATTTTTGCCAAAAACCAATACAGGAAGATACAAAAAGATCTAAAACGGGCCAGAGGGCTTCGTGCTGTTCCAGTAATCTGTGCTTTAAATTGGAATTGCATCATGCTGGCCCAAAGTTTATTATCTTGAATCTAACTTGCATTTTTTGTGTTTTCAATTTAATACTCAGAATGACCGGGAGCTGAAACGGGAAAGAAGGAAACAATCTAATCGAGAATCTGCCAGAAGGTCCAGATTGAGGAAGCAGGTATAGTAAATATGGGAACGTGCAACTTGAATTTGTTTTCCATTGATTTTTACCAATTAGTGGTCCTTATATTGTGACTAATCCTGTTATTTTCCTGGTCCAGGCTGAGGCTGAAGAACTTGCAACAAGAGTTGAATCCCTTGTCACTGAAAATATGTCGCTTAAGTCGGAAATTAATCAACTGACTGAGAATTCAAAGAAACTGAAGCTTGAAACTGCTATGTTAATGGTACAATATAACCTCATTTGCTTTTTTAATTATGATTAATCACCAACCATTGCCTTGTTTGTCTCTTCACCTTTCGGAGTGCTCATATATGGGTTTAAACTCAGGAAAAGTTGAAAAATGCACAAGGAGGACGAACCGAGAACCTGTTGTCTAGAGTCAACAATTCTGGATCTGTTGAGAGAAGCGACGAAGGGAGTGAAATGTATGAGTCTAACTCAAAGGCCGGTGCAAAGCTCCATCAACTTCTCGATACTAGTCCCCGGACAGATGCTGTGGCTGCTGGCTGATCAAGGAAACTGTATGGCTGTTAACTCTTAAGCATCTTTTTAATTTAAAAATTTTAAGTTAATTGAGTACTTTTGGCGTAATTACAAGCCCAAAATTACCGCTAACATTAGCAGAGGAACATATAATAGCTGAATAGAAATTAAGAACACAGAAGACTCTGATTTTTACTTGTGATTTAGATCTCTCTTGGCAGGACTGATTTGTGTTTTATTAGATTCAGAGTGCCGGAATGGCCACTGCTAGTTGATGTAACTCAAAATTTTAAAAAAAGCCCCCCTAGATTTGGAGTGTACTGGAACTATATTTGTGGTTTGTGTAATTATTGAGCATTTTTAAGGACCCTTTATGATGTTGAATAAACAGATACAAAACCTCTTTGAAAATGTGTTTTTTTTTTAATTTTTCTTTGGAAATGTAGTCTATAGAAGATTCAAGATGCACAAGTGATTTCATTTTCTTTTGTTTGCCTTTTCTTCAATAAACCCAAGATCTAAACAAAACCTATAGGTATGGAAAGGAAAAGATTGGAAGGGGAAATTTTTTCCCCTTTTTTGGATGCTTTTAAGAG